TTCACTCATAGTATTGGTAACTGGTGCCCAGGATATGACCTCAGGAAATGTCGAGATTTCATAAATCATTTGTATCAAATCTCTTTTTCTGGTAAATTCCTTAGTGTCTCTGCAGCGGTAACTAGACAAGACTGGAAAGTTTTCAAGATGATTCAAACCTCCAGCACCTCACAGGAGTCCGCATTTCTTAACACAGAAGGCAATGCTAATCAAAGAAGGAAATAAATGAAAAGGTTAATAAAAACAAACACTGGCTTGCCAAACTTCTAAATACATATACATCTATGTATATTCCACTAAAAGATATTTCTCTCGTCTGTTCACGTTTTCTATCCAGAAACCACAAGCTCACCGTTCACACTGTGCGGTAAGACAGTGTAAGCTCTTTGGTGACGAGAACAGTGAAGGCTGGGATACTTGTCCTCAGTGTTTGGATTATTTGAGGATCACAGTACTTTCAAAAGACTTTTTTTTTTTCAAGTGAATCTTTCAAATTTAAATATATAAAAAAAAAATCAGAGAGGAATCTTAAATTCTGGAGATTTCAGTTTAGGGACAAAGAGATAAGCTATAAAAAACCACAACCATACTATAAAAGGTCATCATGAAAACGATTTAGGGCACAGCCATGGACTGCACAGAACCCAAGCTGAAAGGTGAGATAAGTGTAAACTCAAAAAAACAAAACAAAACAAAACCAAAAACCTGGCTGGTAGCCAGTAATTAATCTCAGTCTCTTTAGAAGGTACAACTGACTCATCTAGAAGAGACAAGCGCTGAGTTAGAGGCACCAAGTAAGCTACTGGCTTTAGACAGTGCCTCCCTGACCTGCCTACCCCACAGTGCTGGTAAGGACCAGCTTGTGAGACTTCATCATCTGTTGTTACTCCAGCGTCTTTAGGGTAAAACAACACTCCTAGCAAATTCACCCAGACTGCTTAGGGGAGTCCCCGCCTTGTAGTCACATAGAAGCTGCGGGAAGGACAAGAGGACAAGACTGTCTAGAACCACAGGGACCTCCTTTAAAATTAAAATGCAAAGATAATGATGTGCAAATGCTAATAAACACTTGCGCTGAGATACACAAATCAAGAGATTTCCTGTTCTCATCTGCTGTTAGTGATATGGCGCACGTTCCCCTCGCACGCGCACGTTCCCCTCGCACGTTCCCCTCGGTAAATCTGGGAGATACCTCAAGGTCACAACTACCAAAGGAGATCCATTCATTCTTTCTCTCTCTCTCTCCCCCGTTCAATCTCTTGTATAGTGGGGCCTCCTTCTGGCTAGTAGACTGTGAACTAGGTTACATTTAATAGGGCGTATACTTAAGTAGAAAAGTAGAGGCCAAATACTGAAAATCACAAAACCTGCCTAAGAGCAAGACAAACATTAGTAGTGTATTAACTAAAAACAGCCCTTAATTAAATATTTAATTCTGGATAGCAAGTAGATCAGCAGAGTTTATAAGCAATTCTCCTGGTTAATAATGCTGTCAACATTTGATTTCTACAGCTGGTTAGGTCATCATCTTTGATGGCGGAAAAAAAAAAAAAAGGTTGCTCGAGGCGTTAAGTTAGATGGGAGAGAAACGGGCTTCTGGGTTACATCGTTTACGAACCATGCAAATAACTCCCACGGTAAAATCTGACTGGTTTCTTAGTTATGTTCGATACCAAAGCAGCGTATTGCAATTTGTTCTTTTAACGTCGATTCCACCCTCCAATGTTTTGACAAGATACTCCTGAAACTCAGAAGCTGAGGCAAGACACAGAACTTTCGAGGAGCTGCTCTTAGACATCTTTATTCCCACGGTGATGCTGCGTGGTTCTCTAAATAGTTCACTAGATGAATTGTCACTGATGAAAATTACAATAAAGTGACTATTAAATATAACTTCCTACTCAATGCAGCTCAATAGGGCCATTTATGGAATGTTTTCCTCACCAAACAGTTGATGAGAACGTTGCTCTCCGCTCATGGAAGCCGCTGAATGAGCTCGCAGAGCAAGAACTGACGGGAGAGAAAGCACTCTTCCCATCGTTAGCTGAACACCTTGGTATTTATCACAGCAAAATTGGGACTGTCTTTTTTTATATGTTCCCACTTAATTCCTGAAGTTATTTGAGAAGCAACCAACCTCCCACGAACATTCCTAGTGAAACAGCTAAGAAATCAACAGCATGTTACCATTGAAGGAACGGACCCGCGTTCACCTATACTGGTCAGCGTTAAAATAAAATTGGCACGCAACCATGAACAGTAAGAAGGCCAATGCAACTTAACAGTCATACCTGATAATGGGGATTTCTAGGGGTTTCTACACAGCAGCCTTAATAACTGACTACATCCTAGCCAAGGGGGAGAGGTCTTTGCAGCGAGCACGTGGCGGCAAGAGGGTCCCGCAGCTGACCATGGCCATTCTCTCTTCTGGCCCGCCTACAGCTCTGGAAACCCCAAACGCTAGTCCACAGGGTAAGACAAGAACAGCTCACACTTACCATGACAGGGGGGAGGAAATGACAAAACACTTGGGAGGTACAAGACTTCAGAGGGGGGAAAAAAAAAAGAAAGAAAGAAAAGACTATTAGTCATGCACACGCAGGCTTTTACCCTGGGAAGACTTCACCCCGGAGTATCTGGAGCCAAAGCAAATCACCCAAGTTGTAACGACAGGCTCAAAATGCACGTAAAGGTAAAACACACTGAAATGAGGACAAAAATATGCTACGATCAACTGCTGAAGCCCGGAGGGCAACCACACGTCAGGCCAGCAGATCGCGAGATCGAAGTGAGGTTTGAAAACCACGCGCGACATCTCCCAACAAGACAAAGACACCAGAAACCAGGCACCTTCAATGGACACCTTAAAACTGGAGGGGGAAAAAACGCAGTTACCTTTGTCATCAAGACATAAGCGCTCAGGTTTTGTGTGGACACGTCTACGACCTATCAGCACCTCTAGAACCAGCTGTTTATTAGGACTTTTCAAGGAGTTTCGACACGGACCAGGTACACACACACCCGACTGCCAGAGCAATGTCCCACAGTGCGGCAGAATTTGTCAGATCCCTCTCTACGAGGACGAGCAGAGGAAGGTTATGACTCATGAATATGGATGGACTGTAGTATTTAAATGACAAGTTTCTGCTATCGTCACAAAATCTTTATAGGAAGTAGTAGAACTCAAAAAAGAAAAAAGACAGGAGTCAAATACAGAGATGAAATGCACAAAAACAAATGAGCAGGCAAACTAAAAGTTCTTGAAAGTATTTTTACTTCAGATTGAAAAATGAACAGCTTCACGCTGTTCATTGCAAGATACACAGTATTCACGAATACAATGCTGGTCATTTGAGGATAAGGACACACCTCAATTTCTCCTTCATGCTTTTTTCTTTTAGAAAGATACTGTTTACCAAAAAGAAACTTCAGCAGTACAGGAAAAACTATTTTCCCAATAGATTTACGAAAACCTAAGATTCCCAATGGAATCAAGATTATCTTCCCGCTACCACCACCTTAATATAATCACATGCTTATTGGAACGCTAATATCTGCATCCTAAGAGTACATTTACTTTCAACAATGAGGGTGATTCTTAAAACAAAAGGAAAGAAAAGAAAAAAACTTCAGTGTGGTAAATGTACCAATGGATGTCTGCAAGTATTAAGTGTCTGAGATAGGAGGCTAATACTGGGTTTAATAGTATTTTATAAATAATTGTGCCCTTCGCGGTAAACATCGGTCTACACGTTCGCAAGAGTCCTAGAAATAAATGCTGTGATTATGCACAATATGTTATGACAAATTCCAAAGAACGAAAGCTCAACATCGTGATAAAAATTCTGATCAGAATAAAATGGGACTCGAAAATTTAAAACATTGTCAAGATAACATCACATTTAAAATTTTCCACAGGTTTACACAAGCATTAGGAGTTTCCAGTTGTGGAACACATTTTTCCGTTGCGAATTAAAATACGAACAGATCGAAAAGTGGTAATTGCTGTGATGACATCAGTTTGGGTCTTACTTTAGCATTATTCTCTTTATAAAAAGTCACACTAAGTGTCCATTAATGGTCTGATTGGTCTTTAGTATTTCATAAATGTATATAAAAGAAATTCCTAAAAGCCAATAGTATTTTATATGTGTGTGTGCGTGTGTGTACATGTATATACACACACGTATATGTATATATATACGTATCTATCAAAGAATCTCATTTCAGAAATGGCTATAATTAACAGAGCCACACACACTGATGCTAAACATAAGAGCTTTCACATTGAAAGAAAGCATCTTCAGAAATGTCACTTACATCCTATTATATTCAATATTCCCGAGTTACAAACTCAGCATGTGATGGATAACAGAATTACACATCTCATTGGCGCTCAAAGCGGACCACAACCAAAATTTACAGTAGGATTGAAACAAGCCGATGTTTTAAAAAGTTTTAATTAAAGATAACAATTCCATGGAAGGAGAGGATAAAGAATGGGATGACAAGAAGTATTTGGTCTTAATAAGGCAATACAAAATAGATCCATTATCAAAGACCATTTAATTTTTAAAGATCAACAATACCAAAAGCATAAAGTGGAGTATAAGAAAATAGTTTTTTATAAGTATGATTTAATTAAAGCTGTTTACAGTTATTCTCTCCCACAGTAGTTAAGCATGGATTTAAAAAAGAAGAAGAGATGAGAAAAACAAGCGCGCGTGGTACACAGGGTTAGAGGAGCTAGCATGCAAAGTCTGTGGAACTCGGGGAGTCACTGCCACAGCAACGGGACCGGACGTGGGTGGCCTTTTTTTTTTTTTTTTTCCTATTAGGAAGAAAAACAAAAGAAAACAAAAAAGACTGCAAAGGAAACAAACACAAAGTCATGTAATTGCCCATTGCCCAAGACGACAGCACTATAGAAAAACAGTTGCAAGGTAATTCTTAGAGATGACTAGAGATTTTTCAGTGTTTACACAAAAGTACATAGTACATTTTTTTTTTTTTTTTTTTTTTTTTTTACAAAATAAAACGTCATTTGCCACCATAAACCTTTTCTTTAGAGAGGAAAAATTTTTGCAGCAGGTCACAAGGGTTCTAGTAAGTCATTTCAATGCTGAGGAAAACAAATTGAGTAATAGAACTAATCACTTCCCTATATATGGATGTTAAGATGACAAGTCAGATTATTTTTCAAACTAATCCTGAGAAAAATCTGTTTACAATTTAAACAGTAATGTTATGTAAAAAGTATTAACAAATCCACTATTACAAATATCAATTTCCTATATGGTCATCTATATATACACACAATAAAATGGTAAATATATGCAAAAATATTAAAAAAAAAAAGAAAACATGCACAGATCACTTTCCCCTTTGGAATCTGGACTTCCTATGAGATACTTTTGTTTCCTTTCCCCACCCCATCCTCTGAAATCGGTTTTTGTTTCTATCACCCTACTCACACTGAATACTATTCCCTATAACTCTGCATAAAGCCAATGAGAAATAGATTTATTTTACATTCAAGCTTTAAATCTTAAAATGACCCTGTTGTAGCATATGACTTATCAAATGAGCAGCCTTTTTTTTCCCCCTTTTTTGCTTGCTTTTTGTTTTTGCAGTTGTCAGTCTTCATGATCCATTCCGTGGCGAGCTGGGAAAAAACGCAGTTGCTAAATCAGAGTCTGAACAGTGTAAGGCTCCCGAATGCCAGGAGTCCCTATCCAACTGTCCTGAGCATGAGATCATTGCACACAGAAGACAGTCCATCGTACAACGCCGACTATCTACAAAGGTCTGAGAGGGGGGCATCCCTCTTGTGTTTCCTCTTTTTGCCATGGTAATACTGATTATTTGATTTGCCTTGATGCTGTTTGTTTGTCATCAAGGAACCATGGCTTGTTTGAGTTGTACCTTGGAAGCCTTTGCTGGAAGAACGAAAGAGCCTTGCTGATCCATGCTGCAGAGAAACAAAGTGGTCAAAGAGACATCAGTCTTGTGGATTCAACAGACCGTCGCTAAGACCTGACTTGGGGCGCTTTCAACATGAGGAATATGCTGACTTATCTAGCAGAAAACGATGCTACAGGGGTTCACGCTCTCGCGCTCTAACACTTACTGAAAATACTGGAATACTGCCTTGACTTCCTCACAGAGGGCATGGAATGTTAGCACTTTTCTCAAGGAACCTACCCACCAATGCAGCACCTAATAAATGGCATTACTGGAAGAAGCCCTTAGACACACAGGTGCACTGCCCCATCAGTGGTCATCACGCCTAGCAGCCCCTTCCCTGCTGTCACTTTAACTGCCATTTCTAAATGGATCTGGGTTTGGTGCACATGATGAGGGCTGCAGAGGTACACTGGATTCTGAGTCGGGTCACACAGGAAGTGATGAACATTAAGAACCCGTCTCTACTGCCTAGAGGCCTTCTGCAGGGGCCCCAGGGCACTGAGGGTCAGAGCCCAGTATGAGATAGCTCCTCTCCTCATGTTGATTCGTTCTTCATGATCAACAAAATTTTAGGCAACTACAAAACTGAAAATAGAGTATTTTCTGTGGCCTTTTTAAGTCAAAGCTGACAGGCACTGAATGACCATGGCTGACTAATGCCTGATCATTTCAACACAAGCAACTAGGTACTGAGTGTTAAAATATAAAAAAGGATCTGTTACTCCCAGATATGCACGACATTGCCGAGAGGTCATGCACAAGCTTCACAGGAGCTCACTTCAAGTACAAGTCAATCTTTTTATGACTCAATGCAATTTTTTTAAATGCTGAATCTGCAATAAGGTGGGTTGGCGGAGACACCTTACAAGGACAAGTCACTGAACTTCCATCAGAGGTTCACATTACAATGGTGTTTCATGACGATCTTCAGGACATCCTATTACTAGAAGCACTGTGCTGTGGAACTTCTTAGAAAAACCAGGTTTGTCCTTTAAACATAGAGTTTTCTTCAAACCCATGATGTGTATATATATATGTCTATCTTCCATGTAACATACAGAAATTCACGTGTAAGAAGTTCTAAATATTTTGTACTGAATACTAACGATCAAAACCGCACATTCCACACACCTGAGATTTGTTGGTGCTGTTGGAGGTGGTAGTGGTTTGGGTGCTCTGCATTTTCCCAACTGCCTGAGAGGACTCCAAGGACACATCTTGCGACCCTACTCGGTTCCCCGTGGACGGACGGCAGAGCAGCTGTTTTGGGGTTTTGCACGGCGTCGCGTCGGAATCCTAACACAAGTCATACGAGTCATACGAGTTATAATGGGACATATTAATAATTTAGAAATTCAATATTCAGGAGGATAAGCAACACTGGCTAGGTACTCTCGGGACTAAATTTAAACATCTGGGAGTTAAAGGAAGCCCCCTGAGGAATTTATAAAATTAGCTGCTTAAGGTTTCCTTCTTCCACAAATTCCCCTCCAAACATTCAAAGTCGGTTACTTTATCAGAGGGTCTCTGTTCGTTGCTAAATCTCTTGCCCATGCCCAACCTCGCTAACTGACCGTGAAGGGGCTCACAGAGGTCCAAGTTTATTTGCACAACTATTTACAGGAAATGAACCACGGTACCGTGGAAAGAACGTGGCAAAGACAAGGCCCTGGGTCCTGCCTGACTCAACCAAAACCAAAATGATTGGTTCTGAAGTCTCAATTACGGCGAGTCTGCGATAACCCATCAGTGAGGCCTCCAACCGCCCCCCCCGGCCCCGTGAAGGCCTTCCTGGAGACCATGGGCTGCACCCCACCTGTTTCTGGACTGCCTGGGCCTGGACTGTGCTACTTCTCCCCCCAGATCGACCCTTCCCCTCCACGCTCTACCCAGCGACACACACTCCTGGGCCCTAAGGCTCCCTCCTGAGGCCGTCTCTATCCCCACCCTGCTGCGTCTAGGACCTCCTGCTCAGCGGCGTCCTGCACAGCTCTGCTCTGGGAACCAGAGGCACACAGGAGACTGCCACGTGAGGATTCCTGACTCCACCAGGACACGTGTCATCAACAACAGCATAAAATCACGTCCTTCCATATTTAGATTACTCTTTACATCATACACTAATAAAGTCAAAATTCAAGTAATGGGTAAACCCATTTTATATTTCAATTAAGTAGACTCAAAATTAACCCTGATGAGAAAAACTGTAGGTATAACTGATCCTAAAAATTCAGTCAGGGCTGGAGTCAGACAGTAGAGGCACGGCTGCCGGGGGCCGCGGGGAAGGTGGAATCGTCAGGGGCTGCTACCGGGTTTCTCTCTGGATGTCGGCCATGTCCCGGACTTAGACGGTGGTGAATACACTGAAATACACTAAAAACCACCGAACTACACATTTTAAAAACAGCGAACTTTATGTGAATTATATCTCAATTTTTGAAACTTCCATCAAGAAGCTCAAAAACAGGGACACCTGGGTGGCTCAGTTGGTTAAGCGGCTGCCTTCGGCTCCGGTTACGATCCCAGCATCCTGGGATTGAGTCCCACATCGGGTTCTTTGTTGGGCAGAGAGCCTGCTTATCCCTCTGCCTCTGCTGCCACTCTGTCTGCCTGTGTTCACTCTCTCTCTTTCTCTCTCTCTGACAAATAAATAAATAAAATCTTTAGAGAAAAAAAAAAAAGAAGCTCAAAAACATTACTGAGTGGAAGAAGCCTTACGCAAAAGAGTATATGCTGTAATCATTCCGCTCGTGAAATTCTGGAACAGGTGAAACCAACCCGGGGTATCAGAAAATCCTAGCAGCAGTTACCTCTGGGGTGGATGCGGGACTGACTGGAAAGCATCATGAAGGACTTCTATGGGAGGACGGTAACGGTCTGTATCTTGTTATAGTTGGGGTTACACACGTGTATAGGGTGGTTAAGTACAATTAAATTTCCTTGTGCGTCGATTTTATATCAAAATAAAAAATACACAAATACTGAACTCTGGTCATGAGGAGTACGCAGTAGTACTTTGTGGGAAGTGTCTGTAATTTACTTTGAATCATATCGAAGAATAAGATGAATTAGTGGACAGAGGGATGAATGAACGGCTAGCTTGGCGATAAGCAAGGCACATGTTAATGGCAGAATCTAATGGTGATATACACGGACACTTGCTAAAATTCTTTCACTCTTGCCATATGCTTAAAAATTTCCATCCAGAGTGGGGGACGTGTACAATCAGTGAAGTTATTAAAATTTCCCAGTAGCAAATAAAAGAAGGAGATAGGCTTAGCCCTCTAGACAGAGTCACCCCCACAACAGAACTCCCAAGTGTCTAGGTTCAGAAAAGCCATGTCCTCATACTTACGACATCACTAGAGCTGGACTGTGTGGCAGAAGAGGAAGACACTGGACCTGATGAAGAGTTTGAAGAGTGTTTACTAAGAGATTCCGAAGTTTTACTTCTACATTTTCCAAGGGCTTCATTTTCTTCAGATAGATTATTATTACATTTATCTAACTGCTGAGTATCTACTATCAAGGTAACACCATTTCCTGAAAGAGTGGCAAAAGATTGGAAAACGTTTCTTCCCATTAAACACACACAACACAGAAAAGCCACTAATGCTCGGTCAATCAATCAACGAAAAGCTCTTACCATTGCACGAAGGCTCGGGCCTGTTCTGCAAGCCCCACTGCTTTGAGATCCAATCTCTGTACGTGGCAACTTCGTCGGTCACTCTAATTATTCTACCTAGTATGCTGCACATGTTCAAAGAAAAAAGAGAAGAGAGGATCATTAATTTGGAGATAAGAAGCCACAATCAATTCTGACCCAATGGGCTGACTTTAGTTAAGCCTTTACCTCTCCGTTTCGTTGTTGGGGTAGTACTTGGCTATTGGTGAGACAGCGTGACTCAAAACAACATAGGCATAATCAAAGGCCTGTTTCACCTGCATGGCCCCATATGAACTCCTTCCAACATCATTACCTTTAAAAGAAATGCATATAGAAGATAGTAAGCATGACCATTACTTAGGAAGAACTAAATGCTCCTGGGCCCTGTTCCAGAAGAGCACGGGCAATTGCTTTCCTGCTACAGTTGCACAAAGAAGCTGGGCGGGCAGCCGTCCCCACAACTCCCCAGTCTCTGAACGTGTGTATCATACAGTATGTATGTTATGGCATAGAACTTGCCTAAATGCACTCCGGTCCAACAGGGAGTATCCCACATAGTCATGCAAACAAAAGGAATTAACCCCCTGCGCTCTTCTAAGAGTGAAACCAAGGTATAAGACGAGACATCCGAATCTTTTGTTTCTATTAGCTATCCAAATATCTCTGGCAAGAAATTTTAAGCAAGGGCCATCTTGCTGAAAATCTTTGTGCCGTTTGGGTCGAGTAGCCCCCTGACAAACATCTCCTCAATGAATAAATACGCAGAACTATTAATGCTTATAATACGACAAATCAGCCAGAAAAGAGCCCCTGGGCAACTACCCTCTCTCTCAACTCCCTTTCCTTATCCATTTTCAAAGTTAGCACATTAAGCAAATGACTAAAGGCATCTCCACTGAAGTCTGATAACGTAGAATCTAAATATTTTTACAGTTATGGTGAGAAAAAATATTGCCCAGAAAAACTAGGGTACAAGCAAACAAACATAGCCCCACGTAAGCAGGGAAGGGATCTCCTGGTCCCTTTCAAGCCAATGGGAAGCTGGGAAAGGCACAGGGAGACCATGTAAAATTAGAAGATGAAAGAAGGGGCCCAAAAGGCAAACAAATGGTCTCCTTGAGCCCTTTTGCTCATCATTTCTAACGTATTTACCAGGCTCACTGCCTCTGAGGGCTTCAGAAACCTCACTGAAAGCCTTGGGTGACAATTGGCTGGAATCGGGGGCAATGAGGACACAACAAAGCAAAAAAACCGGCCTTCAGTCTGGAGATGCACACAATCCCCGCCCCGCCCCGCCCCAGCGGCTAATACCTATACCTATACTCCCTGGCCTCTCAGGGTCAGACGGATCCTACTCCCAACACACTGGGAGTATGAGGCATGTTTTTCTGGTGTGTGCACGCGTGCATGTGTGTTTTCATACAGAGGATTTTAATGAAAAAGAATGAGTAAATCAGAAGTTAATCTTTCATTTTTCATCTAAAGAGGTTTCTCTTTGAAAGATTTATTTAAGTAATCTCTACACCCAATCTGGGGCTCGAACTCACGACCCCAAGATCAAGAGTCGCATGCTCCAATGACTGAGCTGGCCAGGGGCCCCGCCTCTAAAGAGAGCTTGAAGTTCAATACTGACAATGCCCTTTCTTTGAATGCCCACAAATTTACCTAATTTCAATACCTGGTTGTAAAGGATCTTCAATATAAAGCATCGACGGCCTGTAGCCATCGAGCATATTTTTCTGTACTTCATCTTTGGCCACATATGAACCACCATCCTTTATCCGGATGCCAGTCTTTAAATAATTGAAGTGTCGTCCATATAATTCAAAAAATTCTATTAAGAGAACACCATAGTTTGTATTGGGGATGCAAGCATCTTCCCTGGGATGTAACTAAAACCAGGAAAAAAAAAAAAAAAAGAAATTACATTGGCTTTTCTCTAAATTATCAAGGTAGGGAGAATAAGTGACATCGTAACTTCACAAAACAGAACTATCCTAATTTTGGCGAAGATAGCAGCTGACAGGGAAATGGAGGCACGGCGGCCATAAACTGCTGGTACAGACAACACGAAAGCCCACGGGTACACAACTGGGGGGCGACAATCTGTTTATAAGATTCAAGGCTGAATTTTACAGCTGCCCAAGGGTGCTGACGGGGCTGACAGGGCCCAGCCCATCAGGGAAGCCATTCTGACTCACGAGCAGAGTCGGGCAATTGGAAACACTGTGCCCCATACACACAGTCACAGACGATGTTAAGACTTCAAAACTCATTCCACCCAGATAGCCCATCTCAATTCCAGCTGAACTTCTAAGATTCGAGGCTTAGAAGTGATTCTTGATTTTCACATTTATACTACTACTTACACTTATGGAAACCACGCCATACCCACACATGTTAAAATCTGAGTGAGGATTCTCAAAACTACTTGAACGTATGAGATTAAAAACAAAAAAATTCATTCCTGGGATTTAAAAATACTTATTTGTTAAATTATAAAAAGGTACCCAGTTTAGAGGGAAAAGTCATAAGTAATAAAGGGAAGCATTCCAATTAGAACTTGATTTCCATTTTCCCCCAAAATGATTCCAAATTGATCTATTTTATTTTGGTGTGCACTAGGCGTGGTATAATCAAACAACTTACCTGAAGGAAACTGACTGCCATTAAAAAGAGACTATATGAACCGATTCCACCTGTAAATACTTCATTAAGGTCCCTCTGTAATAAGAATTGTTTCAGTACTAAAACCAAGTATGGTAATACAGGGTATTTCTGAAAAAGAAAATTATATTTTCAGTGAATTCCTTTTTCAGTAATTGTGCTACAGCATTATCAGGAGCGTAAACTGGCCCTTACATTAAAATCTTTAGTGGAGATATCCAATCCACTTAATTTTCTATTTTAAGAGCAAGCTAGAAAAAAAATAAGCTGTGAGTAATTAAGGATTTTCTCCTCACATCTAAAGATCTAAAACAGGCAGACGTAAATAACAGCATCAAGCACTCACTATGGGACAGACACACGAGCATATATTTGAGGACACTCGTTTATTACCATATTTATTACTACACTGCATATCTATTTATTTCTCACCATATTATTGTCTATTACCATATGCTACTGACTTGTAAACAGGTTAACAGAAACGGTACAGGACAATTCTGAACGCGTAAAACACAACACTAGTGGGAATGGAAGGAAGCACTTTCCTCAGGTGGCGCTCCGGCAAGCAGACCAGGGTTTCCGGATGATTGTGCAGAGCCCCGGGGCAGGGGCAGTGACACAAAGCAGGACATACCCTGACAAAGGACTACTGTGGAGGAAACCGGTCTGTGCTGGCATGAAAACCTCTAAAAAGTATGAGAGGGTGTGTATATAGCATGCCATTTTGTTAAAAATTTCAAGAGGATAATCATCAGAAACAAAGTGCGGGTTGCTGGAGGAGAGAGGGGTGGGTAGAAAAAGATAACAAGAGTTCACAGAAACTTGAAAAATTTCTTGGAAAAACAAAAATTTCAACAGGATAAACAAGCCAAAAAGAAAGGCTGATGATGGCAAATCCCATGAAACTGATCTAAACCTAAGGTATAAAGTGACTCATTTTCCATTTTCCTTTGATACTGGTAAAATTTTCTATCACACATATTATTCTCAATTGAAAAAAAAAAGGTTTCTTTTCTGGGAAAAAGAAAATGTCCACACACCCAACACCTCCAAAGGAGTGGGATTACGGATAATCTTTTCCTTTCTCTGCTTTCCTATACTCTACACACTTATACAAGAATATAATGTTTATAACACGATAAGGTAGTTACATTTTTTCTTATAAAGAAACAAAAAAGGTGAATCTGTAGAGTCCATAGAAGTATTTTGAGTGTACAGAAAAGATATTCTATGTGAAGCAGTTAACGTTTCTTGAGAAACAGGCTGACATGTGTACGCATGAGAATGTTCTGAAGATGTTGACAAATTCTTCATGTCTTGGAAGAATGTGGGACAAATGAAAATAGACATGAAATCACCTCAAGACAAAGCAGGGAAACCTGCAGGAACTCCCTTACAGGAGACCTGGGGGCTCAGGATGTTCCTTATCTAAACTCTTAAGAGATTAAAAGCAGACAAGAGGGATTATTCAGCATTTCAGCCCTTATCTCCCCTAAAAGGAAGAATCGAGAGCAGAGAAGTTCCTCAGAAGGTTTCCAAACCCTGGACTTGAAGTCACATTATAAATGACTGATTATTACAAGCAGATTCAAGGAGAGTAAGGCCACTGCACAGAAAAGCAACACTGGTCAGCAATACGCACATAAAGATGGTTTAGCAAGGCGTATCAGAACACTACCGCAACAGAACCTCCAAACAAAACTCCATTTCTCAAGAGTTTCACTGAATCAACAGTACGAATTCTCTGACCTTGGTAAAATCTTTGATGAGGTCAGCTGCTCTCACGCCATTCTGTACATTAAAGCTGATATCAACTTTCACTTCAGTAAAAGAATCTGTTAATTTAATAATAGGTACCTAGAAAGAGAAGAAAGGCAAAATTAAAATTCATGAACCAAATTAAACAACACAGTCGGGGGATGGAAAGGTTACTAGACTTGAGGTCTCAGCCTCCTCATGAGGACACAAAAACCCTCGAGGGTCCCGAACACTGCATGCCACGGTTCACTTGGCCTGTGGGTACTTTACGTATTCAGCATTTAGCAGCACACAGTGTCCTCTATCATTTCTATTGGCTGAGGATTTTGAAATCAGGTAACAAAAACCTTCCTCAATATTCTGTGCTTTGGATAACAGTTTCCAACTCAGTATAACACCAAGACTTATGAATGTCAGGCCCACCAGCAAAATGTTCCTAATGAGTAAGCTGTTAGATTAGGTTAAGCACAATAATCCACTGGTATTTTATTGGTCAATTTTGCAACTAGCCTATAAAACAACCTACCAAGAGAAGTTAAGACATAGAATTAGTCTCAAATTTAAAAAATGATTGAATGATTTATATGAGATATTAAAAATTCTTTAAAAAGGTTGATGGGGGGAGGGGGGTTGGGGGGGTAGGATTATGGACATTGGGGAGGGTATGTGCTATGGTGAGTGCTGTGAAGTGTGTAAACCTGGCGATTCACAGACCTGTACCCCTGGGGATAAAAATATATTATATGTTTATAAAAAATAAAATTTAAAAATAAAAAAAATTTTTTAAAATTTAAAAAAATAAAAAAATTCTTAAAAAATTTTTAAAAAGGCAAACCATAGGAGACTTTTTTTTTTTAAGATTTTATTTATTTGTCAGACAGAGATCACAAGTAGGCAGAGAGGCAGGCAGAGAGAGAGGGGGCGGGGGGAAGCAGGCTTACTGCTGAGCAGAGAGCCCGATGCAGGACTCGATCCCAGGACCCTGGGATCATGACCTGAGCCGAAGGCAGAGGCTTTAACCCACTGAGCCACCCAGGCACCCCAAGAGACTCTTAACCATAGGAAATAAACTGAGGGTTGCTGGAAGAGAGGTGAGGGGGGTTGGTAACCGGGTGGTGGGCATTGAGGAGAGCATGTGATGCAACGAGCCCTGGGTATTATATGCAACTGATCAATCACTGAACTCTACCTCCAAAATTAATAATACACTATATGTTAACTAAATTGAACTTAATTAAAAAAAAAAAAAAAAAAAAAAGCTCTGAGGTGCCTGGCTGGCTCAGTCAAAAGAGTATGTGACTCTTTTTTTTTTTTTTTAAGATTTTATTTATTCATTTGACAGACAGAGATGACAAGCAGGCAGAGAGGCAGGCAGAGAGAGGAGGAGGGGAAGCAGGCTCCCTGCTGAGCAGAGAGCCCGATGCAGGGTTTGATCCCAGGACCCGGAGATCATGATCTGAGCAGAAGACAGAGGCTTTAACCCACTGAGCCACCCAGGCACCCCAAGAGTATGTGACTCTTGATCTCAGGGTTGTGAATTTGAGCCCCATGCTGGGTACAGAGATTACTTATATAAGTTTTCTTTTTTTTTTAAAGGCTCTATTTGCACCATATATTAGAAAACTCAGGCCAGCAAAATCTGTGTGCAGAACTGGGTTTCCAAATTGATAGCTTTTGGTAAGAAATAGTATGAGTTGTTTTTGTTCTAAGAAAAGCTAACATACAAAACTCCAAACTTCTAAAATAGATACATTTATTTCTGAGATGAATGGCCAATCTAGATATAGTTAAAATATCAAGTTCCTCATCTATAAAATTTCCTTCACAGTTGACCCCTGAACAACACAAGATTCAACTGTGTGGTTGCACTTTTACACAATTTTATGCAATACTGTAAATGTACTGTCCCTATGATTTTCCTAACATTTTCCTGCCTCTAGCTTGCTTTATTCTAAGAACATAGTCTATGATACATATAACAAAATATGTGCTAACCAACTGTTTATGTTATCAGTAACCCTCCTAGTCAACAGAGAGCTCATAGTAGTTTTTAGGGCATCCAAGGTCACATGTGGATTTTCAACTGTGTAGGGAACCCCCACGCTGGTCAAGGTCAACTACATATACAATTTTTCAAGGACACAAAGTAAGAGAGAAAAGCAAGACCTTCTGTGTAACTATAAACTGTTTAATAGAGAGCCATATCTTTTTTGTCTCTAGTTTTCTAGTATTCTATTTATTTATTTTTTATTAACATATAACGTATTATTAGCCCCAGGTGTACAGGTGTGTGAATCGCCAGGTTTACACACTTCATAGCACTCACCATAGCGCATACCCTCCCCAGTGTCCATAACCCAACCACCCGAGAGCCATATTTTTAATTATACTTTTTATATGTAAGAACTCTACAGTGGTATTATGTGTAATAAAATTGAGTATTATTTTTTAAAGAACTATATAACCACAACGAGTTCATTTATTTCACAAACAAAATTTATATACAAGGATTATGATCATTAATGAAAGAAGAGAATCATTTACTGAGACGCCAACTCTGCTTACCAAAATTAAATTTTAATTTTGCAAGTTTCATGCATTAGTAACCGGAAATTTTTAGATGAAATGTTGGAAGAACTTACAGTTGCTTTGTCTAGAACTTTCACCGAATCCTCATCAGCAACTTTATGTTTCCGAAGAGCTTCTTCCAGGGTCCAGAGGGGAAGGTTCTCCCACTTCCCAAACACCACGAGATCAATGTCACTGAGCATAGAACATACACACAAAAGTTGTTTGAAGAAGAAACTGTACTCGTTTTCACTCATGCTCAGGCTTCCAGACTTCAAATTAGTGCAGTGAAAACCTATTTCTCACACTGCCCAATGAAGACCAAATGTGTTGGTGGTGGCTGCTTTGGGGAGGCTGGTGACCTTAACAACCTTCTCCTGCTGGTCATTCTACAGAAGTCAGGCCTCAGGAAACGGGGGGTTTTGAAAGAAGTAAATCCTCGAAAAACACCAGTGAACATTTCCTGTTCATAAAGGCTTCTGGGACTAGAAAACCTGAGACGTGCCCATGTTCATGAGATGAACTGACTCTGATTCAGGTAATTAAGTGTGAAAAGTTAAGTTGCAAACAGTGTATGTGGGATGCCATCATTTGGATGAAAAAGGAAGAAAACACACACCATTTCCTTTTTTATGTATAGAACGTTCATGGAAGGATGTGTGAGAAACTGGTACCAGGGGCTCCTCCAAGGAGCAGGGGACACAGGTGGGATCCGTGCTTTTCATGGTAATTATTGCTGTGCCTTTTCAATCTGAACTATGGGAATGTACTACACATTCGGAAAATTCAATTAAAATTTTCAGAGTGACTCAGGGTTTTGCTGACACTCAGAATCTAAATAAGGAAAACTATTCATGAACTCCAAGATGGATATTTTACGGCTTTTGCAGGCCTACGAGAGCAACGGGCAGAACAGAAATTGCTAGGATCTCTCCACATCAACACATTTTAAGTTTGGGAAAAGTAGATCAAATCCAGCTCAAAAATCAAAAACATGATGGATGCCTAGAGTTAAAATCGTACTGTACTGTGCGCCCAAAACTGTGTTCTGAGAGTAAATGTCACATGAAGTGTTCTTTCCACAATAAAAGCAAAAACAAACACAGGGTGAAATTTCAGTTGATAGAAAACATGTTTTTGCCCCCCAGGGAAGCCTTATCATCCCCAAAAAGGCCCTGCCCTGCCCCAGGTAGGGGGCCGTGACTGGCCTCATGTAAGAAGACTGACGTTAACAAGGGGCCTTCTTCAGAGAAGAGTCTGGAGCCTGAAGCTCCGGGTCCAGAGGTTAGAACAGCAGCTAATAGTCTGAGCTCTTAAGAACAGATGACAGAGCTGGCCTTCGGGGGGTGGGGGGTACACGGCTGTACTGTATGATCACGTGATTTGCCATAATATGACAGTGACGTCTGAGTGAGTGGGTTGAGTTATGGAGGCGAACAGTTCTCTGCAGGCAGGCCGTTACCTGCTGGAACGGTTAGCCGAACCCACTGCTACCTACGCCCTTCCACCTCCATCCCAGACGACACAGGTATCAGTCTGAGAGGGTCACCTCAAGTGACACTCTACCCTCAAGGTAATTCGAATAAAATACTGATAAAGTGAATTTTCATTTCATAAATCTCTTTCTGCTTCTACTCTTCCACCATCAAGAGCCAAAATCTAAAAAAATGCACAATCCCCTGAAAGCTTCACAAATGTACTAACCTAGTAGGTAAATACAGGCCAGTTTTAAAACTTCCAAATATCTGGACCTGAAATAGAAAAAATTATTGCATTAAGGTATGGACCCAATGAAAGCCGCCATGCAATGGAGAAATGTCAAGGTTCTGCTACCCTCTGTTGGTATTTTTTAGTACTACAAGAGCTTTTTTTTTTTTTTTTTTTTTTTTAAAGTAACACCATGCTTTCCAGAAGCAGGGATGCTTCCTCCTACGCAGACATTAGGAATATACTTTAAACTTGTAAGGTTAAAATATCAAATGCAGAGTGAAACAGAAAACTTTCAAAAGTAATATTCAAGTCATTTGTGTTCCCTTATAAGCCAGAGGTCTGTTCAACAAAGGCGGAATTTGGGTTTCCTAAGAGAGAATCTTCTCAAGGCCCCTGAGTTATTTAGGGTCAGACTACTCCGGCGGGAGGCCAGCTCCCCGGGGAACAGCAGGTGGTGTCATCCTAACATTGTGCTGACACATCGTACCCCAGCCGGGGGCACGGTGCAAGGCTCAGGGTGGGCAAGGAACTGCACGAAAGGGTGAACGCTCAGCCCAGAGGTGAGCTGGACCTGGGAATGGAATCACAGCTATGGGTCTCTCCTCTGGGAACAAAAAGATGGATAAAACCCCCAACCTCCAAAGAAGGAGGATTAATCCAAATCCCGGCTTCTCAGCCTCAGCACGACTGACGTTCGGAACAGACAGCCATCTGGGAGGGGCATCGTAGCGTTTAGGAACACCCTTGGCCTCTACCCACCGTATGCTGAGAGCACCTTACCAGGCAATGATAAGGAAAAATGTCTCCGACATTGCCAAGGAACCCCTGGGTGGCAAACTCAGCCACCACTGAGAACCATGGACTGGGATCACACAGAAGAATCCATGTGACCTCACAGCAGCTGCTCAATAAAATATCAGTGCCCTCCCCCACCCCATTCCCTTCACCTACAGTATTTTATTCGAAGCTCTTCTGTTTTGCCAACTGGACAAAGGAAACTTCCCTGGCTCCCCCATCACCATCCCATGACAAAGTCTAAAGAAAAGCCATTTAACACAGAGTAATGCATTCTAACTTCTTTGAATGCACAAAACTGTACAACAGACCCTCAATAGAAAAAAAAAAAAAAAAAAAAGCCCTAAAAAGGTATTCACTTAGTTTCAACAAGAACCACAAATAAGCAAAGAGGAAATCCTGGGCCAAAGTTCTGTTCACTGGGTGGGTCTGCACAGGGAGACAAGGAAGGGCCAGAAAGAAGGAAAGAGCAATATCAAGAGAGGAAAACAGACTTATGCCTGCATTCGCCCAAGAAAATGCACTTCTAATGACATGAGAAACTCCTACTTGACATTTTCGTTAGCTATAAATAATCACATAACATTTATACCGGCAGGTTGGAACAAAACAGTAGTGGGATTTTCATACATCAGATCCAATAACACACTACTACAAGAAGGCCTGATTGGTCTTTCTTCTCTGTATACTAATGATTCCTGAATAGAGTTTACCTTTAGTATTGCTATTCAGCACAGAGAAATAGTTTTAACTAAGTCATCCAATTCACTGCAAAAAATCAGGATGCCCCAAATTCCAACGGCTAGATGAAACTGTTTGCCTTTAAAATTTAATTGGACCGTAAGCGTTCCAACGCACATAGACCTGTGTGTGAGGACTCCTCAGACCCTGTCCATCCTGTGGACAGGGACATGGCCCTCGGCACTCAGCTACCCAGAGAGGCGGTACTCACGTCCGCGCTGGGCCAGAGCTCCTTAATCACACTCTCGATCCTGTTCACCACCTCCATCCTCATCTTTTCCTCCTCCGGTCTTGGAGACATGTATTCATAAAAGTCACTGATTTCTTCATGAAGACTGCAGGGAAGGAAAAGAAAAAAAAAAAGAAAAGAAAAGCAGAAAAGTTAATACGGGCAAGCCCAGTCTAATGAGAAATCACTATCTTAAATAACCTTATCTAATTACGTCTTGTAACTTTGCTAATGACTTTATGTTCATAGGTTTCTACCTTAAAAAAATTTTTTTAAAGATTTATTTATTTGACAGAGAGAGACACAGTGAGAGAGGGAATACAAGCAGGGGAAGTAGGAGAGGGAGAAGCAGGCTTCCCCTGAGCAGAGAGCCTGATGTGGGGCTAGATCCTAGGACCCTAAGATCATGACCTGAGCTTGAAGGCAGACACTTAACAACTGAACCACCCAGGAGCCCCCATAGGTTTGTTTCTACCTTAATTTTAATGTTACAACTGATGCTAGGCTAAATATACAGAATTTAATTTTTTTTAAAAATGCCAGAAGAGTTACATAAAATAAGAAATTCTAAGAAGACAAGTCTTAATGGAGACAGAGTAGCAGCTTTCCCAGAGTTTATTACATGTCTGTGCAGAACACTTGCTCGGTGGACAGGTGCTAATGACTTTTTAAAAAATTTTAAATGTAAGGGGCACCTGGGTGGCTCAGTGGGTTAAGCCTCTGCTTTCGGCTCAGGTCATGATCTCGGGGTCCTGGGATCAAGCCCCGCATCAGGCTCTCTGCTCAGCAGGGAGCCTGCTTCCCCCTCTCTCTCTGCCTGCCTCTCTGCCTACCTGTGATCTTTCTCTCTGTCAAATAAATAAATAAAATCTTTAAAAAAAATTTTTTTAAATGTTAATATGTAAGGCCTGGCCTCTGCCTTTATGCTTGCAATCCAGTAGACACAAACACAGAAAGATGCAGAATCCAGATGCCATGGGCGAGCTTCCTGGCCACAGAGACTTGACCTTCTTACCCCCCCATAATCCATAATCCGTTCCTCACAGGAGCAAAGCGGCATGTCCTTTGTAATGTTTGCTTAGTGAATCAAGAGTCAGCTGAACAAGTGAGCCAGGGACCGTCTGCAAAGACCTGAAGGGAATGACTGGCAGACGAGGCTCCACGAAGGAGCTGAAGACCTGCAGAGCCCAGGAGGAACGAGGCTTCCCCAGGAAGCACTCTGCAAACTACACAGGCTGCAGCCGCCGGAGGAAGGGGAGAAGCAACGGCGGAACGCAGGCCCTTGGCCGCAGCGGGCTCCGAATGGGGAGCGAAGAAGTTTGGACTTCCCGAGGGGAATGAGGAGCTACTTCAGTGTTGCTGAGAGGGACCAAGGAAAGACGGACGTCAAAAAAGCTGCGTCTGAAGAAGAGTCATCTGGCAACCGAGCCAACGACGGACTGGCGGAGAGACGAGACTGGATGCGGGGAGCAGCCCGTACACCCTGCAGCTGTGGAAGGGCTGGGCGGCCGAGGGGCGGCGCAGGGAAGGGACAGGCTCCAGCGCACTGGGAAGGAGGGAGGGAGGAGGCCGGCAAGGGCGGAAGCCTGAGAGGCTGGGCAATCAGTGGGCAGGAGGAAAGGAAAAGCCCCCCAGGCTGGCTACTCAGCGGCAGGCAGAGTGGATGACTAGCACTAGCGGAGGACAGAAGACACCGAAGGCAGCAGGTGCAGCTGGGAGGAGCTTCAGTTAGGAGGGAAAGAAGGGGAAATGGGAGGAAATCAGCTAAACTGGTGTTGACTGCTGGCGACCCCAGGGGCGGGCTGCAGGCAGCTGCGGTGGCCGCATGAGGACGGATCTCGCGGGGTCTCCTCGGACAGTGGTGGCGCTGCAGGAGGCCAGGAGGACAGCGCTAACAGAAACGGCTACCAAGTGCCTGCCAAGTGCTGGGGAGGGACAAGGCCCCCCTGCGGGCTTGGTGGGCAGGCATGCGGGCAGCCTCACAGGAACACGGTCCTGAAGGATCCTGGTTTAGAGAGGCTACAGGAGTCGCAGGAAACTGGAAGCGTCAGGAAATCAAAAATGATTTTGAGGAAGGAAAACAAAATGCCTAATTCCCAACCCCCACTTGGTAGAACATTTAAAACATGGCCAAGTAAGCAATCAACAGTCTCTGCCTCTCCTAATGTTTTATTTTTAGACTGAGAGTCAGAAAACTTGAGTTCTAGACTCAGGCTCTGCCTGGGGGCAGCTGTGTTCCTTCAGAAAGGGACTGGTGCTTTCCAGCCTCAGTGTCCTCAGGCACAAACTAGGGTTTAGCAACCAGGATCCTTTTCGGGCCCTTCATGTCAAAACCTGGGCCATCTGGTAGGGAATGATTTGTAGTGTTGTTTGGCTTGCGTACTGTGAAATACTGCAAAAACAAAAACAAAACCACAACCACCAAAAAAAAAAAAAAAAACAAAAAACAAAAAACAAACAAAAACCCTGGACTTTAAAATTCTAGGGAGTTCTGCACACGAATCTGCACACTCCCAGTGGGGTCAAGTCTTCCCGGGTACCCTGTTGGGTACACCTTAGGAGCTCACCTTCTGATTTTTTCTTAAAATTTCCCAGACTTTTTTTTTCCAAGGGTAACCTCCTCAGCTTCTTGAAGACAACAGCCAAAATGATCAGTCTAGAAAGTTCACAGCTTGTGCTGCTCTTTCAGAAGGATGAGGACCACAAATTAAAAGGAAAACAGATTTCTTCTTACCTAACGGATCGTTTGCTATGTATGAATGATCGAAGTGTATTTGTGGTCCCAAACCACTAGGGGATACTTTCATTTTAACCAACGGGGAAAACCCCTAAACGCAACAGTATCTACTCCACAAAAGGCCCATTTACACCGTTTCTAATTCAAACACAGACAAAAAATATTTAGCCCCACTTTCAGTTAATCTTCAAATCACAAGAAACTGAGTGGGAATTTATTCTCTAAATGTTACGGAGTGCCCAGTTCAACACAGTAGAAGGAAAGAAGTTTAGTCAGTCAAACATGATCCCTGTCCTGGGTGATTTCCATCTAATGAAAAGAAATACTCATTTAAAGTAGTTTTGTGACAGATAATGTGTAAGTTCCACACTGTTCCACCATAGGCAGGCTTCGGACGACCAGAAGGAGAGCTTTCCAAGGACCACAGCTGCAGGGAATGGAATAAGTTGCCTTCAAGGGTGGTGAGGTCGTCACTACAAGGGTAAATAAACGAAATGACCATGAGGCAAACAAAGATCTAATAAGACATTTCTTTCTTTTTCTTTCTTCCTTTCTTCCTTCCTTCCTTCCCTCAGGTTTTAGGGGCGCCTGGGTAGCTCAGTTGGTTAAGGGTCTGACTCTTGATTTCAGGTCAGGATCTCAGGGTTGTGGGAATCAAGCCCCATGTCGGGCTCTAGGCTCAGCCCGGCTCCACACTCACCCTGTTCCTCCCCACACTTGCATTCTCTCTCTAAAATAAATAAAATCTTAAAAAAAAAATTATAAGCAACCTCTATACCCAACGTGGGGCTCAAACCTACAATGCCAAGGTCAAGAGTCACATGCTTCACCAACTGACCCAGCCAGGTACCCCAAAGACACTTCTGAATTTGGTGGAAAATGGAAAGGATTCTAAAATCCCATTTATCACTGGGATTCTAGGTTTCTAATGAGCACCTTAAGCCAGATAAGCTTGTAAAATAAGACCATCCTAAGCATTAGTATTCCATGGAACCATCTCCCTATTTAGGAAGAACTGGTTCCACAGGTTATCCTAACTCTCTCATTGATCTGCCAGCGGAAGCGGGGAGGAGGGGGAGGGTGGGGCCAAGGATGGCTAGCGAAGCTCAAACACACCTGAACAGCAAGAACAAGAGAACCCACCTCCTGCCCACACGGGGGACACAAACATCATGGCCTCTCTCGCCTACACGTAACTAGCTATGTGTAAACTTCAAGAACTGAGTGAGAGATCTTAGTATACTGAGGAAAAAACCTCCAGTACAGATTTTTTTTTTAAGATTTTATTTATTTATTTGACCAACAGAGATCACAAGTAGGCAAAGAGGCAGGCAGAGAGAGAGGAGGAAGCAGGCTCCCCGCTAAGCAGAGAGCCCGATGCGGGGCTCGATCCCAGGACCCTGAGATCATTACCTGAGCCAAAGGCAGAGGCTTTAACCCACTGAGCCACCCAGGCGCCCCCAATACAGATTTTTAAATAATCTCGAGGTCACTCTATCTCTGCGGACTGTGTAATTTTCCTGGCAGGGTGCCATGTACATCGAGGTGCTTAAAGAACCCTGAGGGAACAATGTCCCGTTTCTGGACTGCCCACTATGCGCTCCCGCAGCACAATGACCCAGGGAAAGCTGGAGACTGGAGACTGGAGACACTCTGTAGACTGGCTTTCACCAATCAGTCGAACTTTACGCCTCTGACATCCTCCAGCCACACAGGGAAATTTCAGCTTCTCCCACATCTGGATCAAAACTCAGGATGGGGGGCGCCTGGGTGGCTCAGTGGGTTAAAGCCTCTGCCTTCCGCTCAGGTCATGATCCCAGGGTCCTGGGATCGAGCCCCGCATCGGGCTCTCTGCTCGGCGGGGAGCCTGCTTCCTCCTCTCTCTCTGCCTGCCTCTCTGCCTGCCTCTCTGCCTACTCGTGTCTGTCAAATAAATAAATAAAATCTTAAAAAAAAAAAAAAAAAAAAACAACTCAGGATGGTTAAACTGGTAAATACGGCCGAATGTCTCCTACCCAGCCTTACAGTTTCTCATTTTAATTTGAAAATATAACTCTCGATCAAAACTCATACGTGACAAGTATGTCAGTGCCTTCTGTCAGGGCATTGGTGTATTGTTGTTTTGTTTTAAGAAAAAGTGAGCAAGAAAGCACTCCACTCCCTGTTTATAAAGGAAGAGTATATTCTAGAAAAGCAATATGATAAAATAAGTGCCACTAAGTAACTGGAAAGGATGCTCCCCCAAAAAGAACGTAATCAAAATTAATTTCCTGGGGTAAAATTTACATTAACCTCAAAATTAATGATAATGATTTAGTGTGACAATGAAGAGACATAAACAAAAAAGTTACTGTATTTTAAAAAGTACA